GGGATCATGGGGGTGGATTTCCCCCTTGCAGTTCTCATGATGATTAGTGAGTTCTCTTGAGATCTGGTTGTTTAAAAATGTGTAGCACCTCCCCTTTCTCCCTCTTCCCCCTCTCCTGGCTGTGTAACACATGCCTGCTTCTCCCTCACCTTCCACCATGATTGTAAGTTTCCTGAGGCCTCCCCAGCCATGCTTCCTGTACGGCCTGCAGAACCATGAGCCAATTAAACCTCTTTTCTTTATACATTTTCTAGTCTCAGACAGTTCTTTATAGCAATGCAAGAATGAATTAACACATGCAAGAATGAATAAACCCTTAGTTTACAGGAGAGTCAGTTCAACATGACAGTGGATTTTTCTATATTTCATTAATATTTTATAAGGATGCCCCTATATAATGATTATATAATTAAATATATGCTTGTCATATTTTTCAAAACGAGTGAGTGCCACTTCTCCAGATTGTGAAAGGGAGTCACCAAGCTTGACAGTTAATTACATGATTGTAGTCAGAGTGGAGAAAACAGGCCAGTGGGCTTTCGGTTGTTCTTTCTCAAAAACTGTTTATTTCACTCATAACTTCAATAGAGTTAAGAATATTTTTTTTTCAAAGAACAAAAGATGGAAAGAGATTTTTTGAAAACATTTACGATAGTTAATGGCAAAAGCAGAAAATCTAAGAACTTGTGTGTGTGGTTCCTTTCAAAACTCACCATTGATAATAGTTCATTCAATTAAAAAAAAAATTTTACCAATCACATCCATGGAAGAGAGATTCCTTTTGCTACTGTCAGTTTTTTATTCTTATTTGGTTGAGGCAAAAAAAGTAGGGAGACAACTATTATGGCAGATTATTAAATCTATATCATATGTTATTCCTAAGTGAGAATCACTTTTCCGAAGTCCTGGTTGTAATCATCTCTTGAAATACAGATTCACTACATGCCTCGAAGTCATTGGCAGTTCTCCAAAGAGACTAAACAGAACTTCAAATATTATTTCAGGACACTGAGGGAAAAAGAGAGAAGTGAGATTGATTTCATTTTAAATGACTGGAGTCGAGCTCTGTGAGGGCCAGTCTTCTCTGCCTTATTCCTGGGGCTTTTGTTTGCCAATTAGGGAGTATCACCTGGATTCAGAAGTTGGGCTAAACCAAGGCCTCATTGGAACAGAGACGGGGAGGAGACACGCTCCCTTCACAGCTGTCCTTGTGTGTCAGCCCAAGTAACAGACGGGAACAGCTGTGCCCCAGCCCACATGTGCCCTCGTGAGAAAGCCAGCGCAGATCAGTGACTCCTCACGATTTTAGAAAAGCAACTTGATCCTCTTATGGAAAGTGATGGCTTTTGTGGTTGTTTCATAAGGGTCAGGAGAAGTCTGGGGAGAGACCCCCAGCCTCAAACTCTGTCCTTCAGTAGGGTCCAAGCAACTCCAACAAAAACAAAAACCAAATTCCTGAACCAGAGAAGGAAGCACTTCCAATGTGACAGGTGCTCAGGGCTGGGTTTGTGAAGTTTTGCTTTGAGTGCCTGGAAGATGAAAAAAAAACCAGAACTCACTTTTCTGCCCGGTTCTGTAGGAAACCACACACACAGAACCAGACACCTAGGAGTGGGCAGATAGTGCTGATGCAAGGGCACCCTGTGTGATGAGCAGAAAGCAGTTGGGGTGGGGTGCCCTGCAGGGAGGGAGGCAGGCTTCAAGCCCCCAGCAGCTCAGGCCACCAAGAAAAAGGATCCATAACAAAATGCTTTCATCCTCACCGGTGTCCCTGGTGATTCAGGGGCTTTTCTTCCTCGTGGAGATCATGGAAGGCATCTAACATGCCCGAGATGAAAGAGTATCCCTGCTAATATTAAGTTCCTTAATATTATTGGCTTAATAGTAAGCCAAGTTAACTGAAACACTGGATAGGTTTACCTCATCCAAACATAAAGGGACCACTATGATAAAGCCCTGGGATTGGACATTAAGGATTATTTCTGTGCTTTGTAGCTTGTTTTTATTGATTTGGGGTTTTATTAGGTATACAGTCCAGACTCCCTCCCATCCCCCACTTTTCCTCTGGGCAGCCACTTCTTATTATCTGTCCTTTGAAGTTTCTTAATGCATATCCCAACAGATACATATAGATCATTGTCTCTCCTTTTATTATATGGTAGCAAGGTATAGAGAGAGTTTCAGTTTTTTACAGTTTTATAACTTTCCATTGTATGACGTGTAAGAATTAATTTAATCAGCATCTTATTGATAGACATTAAATTTTTTGTAGTTCTTTGTGATTACCAACAATGTAGCTAGGAATAACACTCCACTTACGTCATTTCACTCATATGCAAGTTTCCTATATGATAAATTTCTAAAAGTAGAATTACAGGGCCAAATGGCATGTGGATTTCAGTGATTCAACCAAATTGTTCTAGATGCCCACAAGGAATCTATGAGAATTTTCCACATTCTCATAGCGTATATTCACACTTTGAGTTTTGCCATTCTGACAGGTAAAAAGCAGTATCTCACTGTAATTTTAATTTTGATTTTTCTTATATGGGTGAGGCTGAACATATTTTTATATGGGTAAGAGTTATCTACATTTCCTTTTCTGTAAACTCTTCATATCCTTTGCCCATTTTTCTGAGTTGTTGCTCTTTCCTTCTGAATCTAGTAATTTTTAAAAACTGGTTATTGTATTTTTCACTTTTAAAATTTCCATTTGGTTCTTCCTTACATTTTCTATTTCTCTGCTGTGAGTTTCCACTTTGTCATTTGTTTCAAGCATTCATACTTGCTTTAAAATCAGTGCATTTGTATAATAGCTGCTTTATGATTCTTGCTGGATAGTTTCAACATCTGTGTAATCTCAGTGCTTACAATTGCCTTTTCTCCTTCAAGTTGAGATTTTTATGGTTCTCAGTGTGATGAGATTTTGGATTGCATCCTAGACATTTTCAGTAGTATGTTATATTATTCTGGTTCCTATTTAAATCTTTGATTTTAGTAGGCACTTGACCTGTTTAAGTTCAGAATGCTTGTTCCGGTTCACTTTGTGAGCTGTGGCTCAAAAGTCATTTCATTTTCAAAGCCTTTAGAGTGCTATTTCAATCTGCCCCACTTGGGTGCTACCCTGAGGCTAATCTGAAACCCAGGCAGTGTTTCAGACCAGTGTTCAGCTTTTCTGACCCTTGAAACTTTTTGCTGTGTTGTTTCTTGTCTGTTTTGTGCATGGGGCACTCAAGAGTTCTACCCAGGATTTCATACACAAATTTAGAAAATTGCTTTATCCAGTTCTGTCCTCCACAAAGTCCTCCCCCAGCCTCTAGTTAGGAGTGGGAGGAGTATGGTCACGTTACTGCAGGAGGAGGAATAGATGAGTGGGCTTCATCTGCAACATCCCCCCAGCAGCACATGGTGGCAGGGGGAGGGGTTAGCCAGCACAAAAGGGCAGATGTGGTCAAAATGTTTTTGCTCTGCTGGAAACGCTGGTCATTTGGCTAAAAAGAGTTTTCTTAGGATTTTAAAATTTGTACCCATCTGCGTTTCTGGGTTATAGACATTGCCAGAGCTCACACTGCCATAAACGGGAACAAAAAACTAATGAACAAAAGAAAACAAACACATAAACAACACTCAAGTCTCTCCCTGCTACCTGATGCCTTGCGTATGGAGAAAATCGCCAGTTTTTCTTTCTTTATCCAACTTCGGAGTCTTCTGTGGGTTGCTTTGTGAATTTGTCCAGAGCTTTTTGTTATTGTTAGTAGGAAGAATAGGGCGGAACATGCTTAGTCCATTTAGTCTAGAAACCAAGTTGTGGAGATCTACTCACTTCTTATGAAACTGTCCCCCAGAATCTACTCCGTCCCTGCCCTACCTTCCTGCTGCCTGAAAACCCCAGCAGGTCGTTTCTCCATGCCTGGGTCTGGGTCACGGCCGGTGACGCTTTCTGACCCCACCTCCCCATGCCTCAGGGGTCACGCGGTCTCCGAATTCAGGCTCCACATCTCATCTAGCAAAGAGGGGAAGGCTTGCATGCTCTATAAACCATGTTACCGCTATACACCATGCTTATCTAGGTAGTAACTGCTGATACAGTCACCACATTTACCTCCTGAGGACAAACACTAATGCTCAGAGGCAGTGCCATTGAAGCCATAAGAAGGAAATACTTTCATAACCGCCTCATAATATTCAAAGTTTCCTCCCCCACTAAGCAGGCAAATTTCACATTATTATGCCCTTTCTCATATCCGCTTCCAAATCATGCTGCCTCAAGCCTGCCAGCCGAAGAAAGGCCCCTGTTCCCGAGCCAGCTGTGCCTCAGACACTTGCCTACCTGCCAAGGCTTGAAGATTACCTCTGCAGGGGTAATTAATTCTGTTCTCAGTCAAGGGCTTCACATGAATCTGTTTCTGGTTCTTTCTATTTATAGGTTATTTTATACTTACAACTCTCTCTCTTTAACAAACAAAAAACAGTATGAAAACAACATCAGCAACAAGAACAAAGGAATAAATAAAAACTCCCTGCATCCTGGTGCTCTGCTCTGATTACCACCATCTCTTCTTTCCTTTCCAGACAAGCTTCTTGGAATGGTAATCAATGAGTCCTCATATCCTCCCTGAGATTCACATCCCATCTCAGCTTTGTTTAACTCTCACAACTTCGTTAGTTCATTAAGGCCTTCAACAAACGGAATATTGCCAACTCTAGAGGGTACTTGCTGGTCCCCCCTAACTCCTCGTGCTTTCTCAATACTCTCAGCTCTGCTGCTTCTGTGATAGTCCTCTCTTTTTCCTCCCACCTCTCTTAATAGTTTTTCATCTTCTTCATGAATTGCTCAGCAGCCCATCATCCCTTCCACAGGAATGTTAATAAGATGCTGCTGCTGCTGCTGATAACCCTCCCCAATATGTACTGAGCTCTTATGCCAGGTTCTAGGCCAGGTAGTTGGAATGCATCATAACATTTAATTCTCATAAAAATCCATTTTTGGAATGTGGAAACTGAGAAATGTCAGGTTATTTGCCCAAGTTTAGGCAGCTATTCCATGGCAGAGGATTTAGGTATAGGTTTACCAAAGAGATTCATCTTTGGCCTGTTTCACAGTTCACTTTGCATCTTCTCCTTGAATCATTTTGGCTATTTTCATGGTCTTTCCCAACTGACATCTATCAGAAGGATTTTCCAATCTGGGTTTTCAACTCCTAAATCAGACTTTCTCCTGAACTTGTCAATCTGGATATCCTCTACTGTATTAGTCAGGGTTTTTCAGAGAAACAACCTATAGGATAGATAGGTATATCAAAAAAAATAAATTTATTATAGGAACTAGCTCATGTCTGATGGTAGTTGAAAGTTCAACAGACGATCTGCTGTGTGCAAACTGGAGAACCAGGGAAACCAATGATGTAATTCAGTCTAAGTCCAAAGGCCAGCAAATCAGGAGGTTAGTGGTAAAAGTTCCAGTCTAAGTCCAAAAACCTGAGAACCAGGAGTGCTGATATCTGAGGGTAGGAGAAGATGGATGTCTCAGCTCCAGCAGAGACACAGAGAGAGAATTTGCTCTTCTTCTGCTTTTTTGTTCTATTCAGGTACTCAAATAATTGGATGATGCCCACACACATTGGTGAGGGTGGATCTTCTTTGTGCAGTTTTCTGATTCAAATGCTAATCTCTTCTGAGACCCCTGCACAAACACATCCAGAAATAATGTTTTACCAGTGATCTGGGCATCCCATAGCCCAGTCAAGTTGACACACAAAATTAACCATTCACTTAGAAACCTCATAGAACTCATAATATTCCCTCCTCTATGCCACCTGATCCTTCTGCTGTGCTCTGGGTCTTTGTGATTGAGATAGCTAGCTTCCACCCAGTTGTACAGGGGACACACAAAACATTTTTGACTCCTCCTCTCTCCTTTGCCCTTCACTTACCATAAAGCCTATTAATTTTATTTCCTGTTTCTAGAATCCAGCTTTTCTTCTCACCCCAACTAGTAGTCTCAGGCTCAGGTTCTCGTATCTTCTCTTTTGGTTATAGCAATGAATTCCTACAAAGTCTTCCTACTTTCATTTTATCTTTTTTTAAGTCAGTAAGCTTCACTTAAAGTGTCTTCCCTCTTCCATTCCTTCCCCCTAAAACACCCAAAACATAAACATGGCAATTTGGGTTATCTATTGCTGTGTAACAATCCACATGAAAACTTGGAAGTCTAAGATAATTTATGATTATCTCTCCAATTCTGTGGGTTGATAAGGGGCAATCCTCAGTTGGGGTATTTGATGCAGTTGCATTCAGATGGTGGCTTGGAATGGAGTCATCCAAAGGCCTGACTTAGCTGGATGTTCACAGTAGCAATGCACAAGGTGGTTTTGGCTGGGAGCTCAGCTGGGATGACTGACCAGAGCACCTACATGTGGCATCTCCATGGGGTTTAGACTCTGACCGCATGGCAGTTTGCTTCTAAGTGGAGATGTCATGTTCTGAGAGCAAGTATTCTGAGAGAACTAGGCAGAAGCTGCAGGACTTCTTAAGACCTCTTCTTAGAATGTCACTTCTGTTATCTTCCCTTAGCCAAGCAGTTGCTTAGGCCAGCCTAAACTCAAGAGGAGAAAAATTAAAGCCTACCTTTTAATGCAGTGAGCAATACACATGTACAGAGAGGAAAGCCAGTGAGGCGATTATCTTGGAGACTATCTACCTCAATGACCATATCATTTTCATGTGTCTAACTCCTGAATTGCTCCCCAGTCACTGGGACATGAAGTCCAAGCTTCCTACAGTACAATGCATAGACTTTCTAGGGTTTGCAACACTGACTTCTCCAACATCTTTTCCTTCCACTCCCAGCCCTCCGCATGTATTGCTTATACATCTCTCTATCCTGCCTCTGCCATAGATCTTCGTGGTTATTCCCTCTCCCCACCCACCTTAATATCCTTGCTAATCCTTCTTTTCTTAGTCAACTTCTATTTCATCCTTTAAGGCCACTTAGACACCACATCCTCCAGGAAGCTCTCCTGGAATCCCACCTTGGGTAGGGTGAGCCACTTCTGTGACTTCTGTTGCACCCTAAGTGCACTTATCATAATGCTTGTTATAATACTTGTGTTGATATTATACATTCATGTTTCTCTTTCCCTTCACACCCCTAGAGGGTTAGCCCCTTGAAGGCAGGAGCCATCTCCCATCCATCTTTGTACCTTTGGTGCACTTTGGTGTGATAGCTTTGCAACGTGTCAACTTACCTAGACAGAACTACACTTCCCAGAATTCCCTCCCCTGCATGTTTCTGGTTAGAGTGAGCCGCAAAAGAGCCTCCTGTGGGACATGTGAAGGTTGGAGGTGAAGCAGCAGCCCTTTTTTGTAGCTCACACATATGCTGCTTGTTGCTGGTGTGGGACAGCAGGCTCCCTGTTGTCCTGCTTCAGCCTCTTGGCTCCTGTGATGAAGGGCACAAGCTCTTCCTATAGGACACCCATACCATCAAAGTCAGAGGCAGCAAGAATTGGCATGAGTCTCAGCCCATCCTCATGGGTTCCAGCTTGTACCCATGGGCTCCATCTTGTCCTTGCTTCCCCACTGCCTGCCTTGTGGACAATGGCCTTACAGAGATTGCTTAGCAAGAACTCACAACTTTGTAAGGCACAAATCCCCATAACAAAGATACACACACACACACACACACAGAGGTATATATGTATCTGTGTGTGTATAAGTGTGTGTCTGTGTATTTGACATGCGTACATAAAACATGTATTACCTCCTAGTGATTCTGCTTCTGACTGAACTATGACTGACACAGATGAGAGGGTTTATCAGGGAAAATCTGAGACATGTCAAAAACAATGACAAATCACCTGCTTTTAAAATAATAATTGCATAATAATATTACAACTAATCATATCTCCATGCCGTCTCTTCACCATCCCACAGGACAGGGTTCGAGGTTGGGTTCGAGGCTGGCTCTGTCACTTTCTAGCTATGTTCGTTGGGCAAACTCCAAACGTCAGTTTCATCATCTGTGAAATGTAAGAAACAGTTGTGTCTACCTCATGGGTTCATGGAGGATTAGAGATAATACACTTGAAATTCTTAGAATGTACCTAACATGTAATTAATGTTTAAGCCAAGTTGGCTAATATTAACTGTATAAAATACATAACTACTTGCAGATAGCGCATTTGTCCCTATAATAATTTATATTCTATCCACGTACATTTACACTCATAATTCAGAAACTGCATTTGTGTTACTGAAGTGCAGAGATTATAGTACACTTCAGAGGTCATGAGTATAAATAGTGTTATACTGTTTCTAATCATTTATGGGTTAGAAAGTTTATAATAATAATATATCTCAAAAATTAATAAAAGTATAAGATTAAAATTATGTAGTCGACTTGCTTGTGTTGATGGCATAAACCCAGAATGATGTAACTCCTTCATTCCTTTGGCTCTTTCAGAGATCTTCCTTCAGCCCTAGAGTTTTAAACTCTTCCTTCTTTAAAAACTGAATCAGGCCGGGTGTGGTGGTGGCTCATCCCTGTAATCCCAGCACTTTGAGAGGCAGAGGTGGGTGGATCACTTGAGGTCAGGAGTTCAAGATCAGCCTGGCCAATATGGTGAAACCCTGTCTCTACTAAAAATACAGAACAATTAGCCGGGCATGGTGGCACGTGCCTGTAATCCCAGCTACTCTGGAGGCTGAGGCAGAAGGGTCGCTTGAAGGCAGGAGGCAGAGGCTGCAGTGAGCTGAGATTGTGCTACCACATTCCAGCCTGGGTGACAGAGGGAGAGTCCATCTCAAACAAACAACAACAAAAAACCAAACCTGAATCTATCTATATATTTGAAACAGCTTTGTAAATTCTAAATCATACATTTGACTGTCCTTTTCACTTTATCTTTTTAGAGTCATTTCAGAAGGTAGACATAGCCATGGCATTTAGAACCGGTTTTAATATTGATCCATCTAGAAGGCTTCCAAGATCCCACTAAAATCTTAACAAAATGAGGATATGAAGACAGTTTTTAGAAGTCTCATTGGCTCTCAGGGACAGGGCTTGCAGGAATGTGCAAGACAGAGGGTGAGAGAATGACTTGGGATGATGTGACTTTTCTATTCATTTTGCCTCTTGGAACATTTAATTTTTCTGAGCTCTCTTTGTTTATGAATTGAAAATGCTTTTGTTTATTAAGTTAATTAAATTATTTTAAGAACATAAACAATTCGAGATAAGGGACTCAAACATTGTGAGCCTCTCTGTCTCTCTCTGTGCTAACAAACGGTTGGTGTCATAATAAAACAAGTAGATTTCTAAATAAGGCAAAAACGCCCGGGTCCTGTGTGATGAAGCAAGAAGCCAGACAGAGCTTCCTACTGTTTCTCCTGCCCCTGACGCACACTGGGACCCTCAGAAACCCAGCGTTATATGACAGAGACCAAAAGTTAGTTCCTAGACAACAATGGACAATGTCTTGATATTTGCTTATCACCCCTCAGCGACTGGGTAAGGCTCTAGATTGTGAGAACTCAAAGCAGAGCTTTCCCGTATCTGCCTTAGACTGTAACAGTCTGGATATATACATGTTCTTACCCTACTACCCTATACACGTCTTGAGAGCAAACCACAGTCTATTCCCACTTGTCATATAGGAGGCATTAAAAATCAATTATATTCTATAGAATAGAGAAACAATTTGAATTTTTTCACAAATTAAACTTCAGTTCAAATATAATGTTATGTACTTCAAATACTGAGATCAAGCAAACTAAAGCCTCACCCAGTCCTTTTTCAGTACCCTTAAATCAGTTCCTGGGAGGCTCCAGAAACTTGTCTTAAAGATAAAGGATGAGATGAAAATGCTTGCATTTCTAAATGCTGTTTCCTGAGGAACTCAATGTAATATGCTTAAGGTTCAAGAAGATGGGGAGTATATCTTGAGTCATAGACAGAACATGTTCGTTGTCAGTGTTGGGCTCAGCATGTGACTGACGGTTGCTGATCCTGGTTCTTACAGTCCCCAGATTCTGAGAGCCACCTGGCACAAGGGGCATCCTCCTGTGTTGCAGATGGCCAAGGGCAGGTCAGAGGGCCTGATGCGCTCTTGACTCTTTCTTGCCTCTATCTCCAGCCTTCCCATACATGGGCTTCCTTCCATTACCTGTATCACCACAGCGCCTATGAATTCCCAGTAAGCTTTCTGTTTAAAATGTAGAACCACTCAACTTCTAGGAGCTCATGGAAGATGGGTGGGTATACATTTTTAGGAATGAGAATGGAACTAGTATTTCAGTTCCTATCCTGAAGCATGCATCATCCTCAAATTGAAAAGAAAGTGGATAAAGTTAGAACATGTTCACTGTCTTTGAGGAACTCATGGTCTCATGGAAAGACAGCATGTCCTATCTTGTACTGTGGATTTGTCTTGAGAGCAAATGTGATGTCTTTCAAGGGGCAAGAGTAGGGTTCTCACAATGCGTAGAATCATTGATCATTGTGATCATGTGATCATGATGCACAAAACAGTCTAGACTGTTCTTCTTAAGTTTCAAGTAAATTTCAAAGATACAAGGAAACACATGTGTCATGATCTCGAAAATAAAATTTGGAGACGAAGAATGATGGCTTTCTGCTCTTAGAGGAGGAACAGGTGACAGGAAGCAATGTCACTGGAAGTGGGGTTTCCTCTTTTGTGAAATCCACATATTGCCATTTGTTTCCTGTGTTTTGTCAGTAGCTTGTGGAGGAGAATGAGCGGAGGTATGCTTTATTGCATCTGAGCCACAACTTTATGAAGACACAGCTGTGTTCTTGCTGTTCACCTTTCATTATTACTTCCATGGAGTTCACTGCTGGCTATGATACATTACAACATTGACAACAGATGCAACCTCTGACAAGTTTAGTTATAGCCAGTGGGACCAGCATTCTAGATGGTTTGATTTGTGCCCATAGCTTCTTGTTTGGATGACAGATTATACAGACACCCAGGTTATAGCCAATACATAGTTATAGAGCTCACTTTTTTCATGTGATTTCGGTTGGGTGATTTTGTTAATGAGTATTTACAGTTTTTCACACATAAACTCCTAGTATGAAGCTACTCCACGTTTATTGCTTTGCATGGTACTGCAAAACTGCATTTATTGTGCTTTCTCAGTTTTTCATCAGAAACCCTTCTTTGAGACATAAACATTCCATGTTTTTCACTCCGTTTTTAAAAAACAAATTAAGCAGACACTCATTTATGAAGGTACTTCAGGTAAAAGACAGGAAAGGCTCCTAAAAGGGATGTGTGGGGGCCACTTTTGAGGGCTGTCTTTCATGTCCATCTCAGCCATCCCTCAGGAATTTCTATTTTCTTTCTGATGCTGCCCAAGTGGCAATCCCACCCTGTCCCCTGTCCCTGACCTTGGACATGGGGAGCAGCACTGTCCCAGGGAGGGGCAGACAGAAGAAGGGAAGATGGTGAGCCCAGTCACTCCTCAGCCCAGTGGGGTTTCCTCAGCAACATCTCATCCCACACTGTCCGCTCTCCTTGCTCCTCTGCTCCAGAGAAGATGGTTTCCATGTGCTGCTTCTCTGCCATCTTTCTTTCCTCTTATTTCTTTCATTATGAAACCAAAGTGCTAGAGGGATCAGGGACTATGGGGGACCCACGAAATCCCATGTTCATGAAGATGGAAGAGAATGCTGGTGGGAGGGGGGCTGAGGCCTACAGAGATGGGGATGGAAGACTGCTGCCTTAGTCATCTGAGGCTGCTCTAACAGGATACCACACACTGGGTGGCTAATAAGCAACAGATGTTTATTCCCACAGTTCTGGAGGCTGGGAAGTCCAAGAGCAAGGCACCAGCAGATTCAACATCTGCTGAGGGTCTGTTTCCTGGTTTGCATAGAAGGTGCCTTCTCCCTGTGTCCTCATATGGTGGGAAGGGCAAGGCAGCTCTCTGGGGCCTCTTTTATAAGGGCACTGATCCCACTCATGAGGACTTTCATGCCCTAATCATTTCCCAAAGGCCCCACCTCCTAATACCATCACATTCAGACTGCAGCAGCCTCCTCTTCATTCTCAAATCCTCCCTCAATAACAACCTTCGTTTTGAAAGGATTTCAAGGCAGAGATTCTGATACCTACTGGAGCTTTTATCCTGTTTTTCAGAGGTTTGAGAGGGTTGACAACAGCTGTGGTCCCGGAATAAGAGGAGTTAATGGTAATAGAAAGGAAGTTGACACCTGAGGAGGAGAGTTGGGGTCACAGGATAAAGTGCCTCCAAGGTTTCTATCAGTGGGAAAGCTGACTGGCTAACCCGGGCTGCTTGGAACACCCTGTCTATGCCATTCTGCCTTCCTCGCAACTTGGCGGGTCCTCATCCAGACTCCATTCCTGCATTACCTCTCCTGGTCTCCATTAAGATGCAGCCTTCCCGAGGACAAGGGAACTGCTGGGTGACTTAGACAGTGAGGCCCTTTGCTGCTCATCACAACCAGCGTCTCTGGAACCACAGAAAGGCAGCCTGGGATCAGGCGGAGGCAGACATTACTTATGGATGAAGGCAAGGGGTAGGGAGTGGGTCTAGGTGTAAAACTGACACCAAACCACCACACGGGACTATCCCAGTCAGAATAAAAGGGGAGGCTATTTAAGCATCAGAACGTGCTCCCTCCACCCCAGAGCCTGTCCAGAATGTCGGGGGCCGCCACCTGCTTGCCTGCGAGGCCTCCATGCTCTCCGGTGCTCATGTTCCCATCTGCTTGCTGCAGCACTAATGAAAAAACTCGACGGCCAGGCATGCTTGGAGGAATAACTCATGAAACAGATTGTAAAGCCTGGGCCCATGACTTGCTCTTTTGGGACTTGGCACTTACGTCTCTTTTTCCATTTGCACAGACTGAGCAGGAGGCCAGGCCTCCCCGCCCGGGCCTTGGGAGCGAGGCGCCTCTCCTCTGTCCGCCAGTTCTCCCACTCGGCCCCCACACCCCCAGGGGGAGATGCAGGGGAGCTGTGCGGACGCCGAGGCCGCGCCTGCTCCACATTCCAAGCGGGACACGGCCTGAGTCCCGCGGGCCCTGCCCGGAGGCCCCTGGGTGTGAATCTGTGTCTCCCCACTCGCCGGCTCCCGCGCCGCCTTCAGGCTTTTTTTCTCGCTCGCTCTCGCCATTCCCCGGGCAGCGTCTGCGTTTCAGTGCGCGGACATTTCCGGCTGGCGGGGGATGGGACGGCGGCCAGCCCGTTCCCGTTCCCGTTCCCGCCTGGCTGCAGGCGCAGCTGCGATGACTTCATGACTCTGCAATGGCCGCGGGGCCGGGAAACAGCGCCGGGATTGTATTCACGGGCTGGAAAGTAGCAAGTGTGAAAGACACCCGTGGCAGACTCCACCTCCTGCCTTACTAAAAATTGCTCTTATCTCCGGCAAAAACTCCCTGAGTTCCTTTTCCCCCTCCTGGCAGCCCTGCAAGGAGGGCCGCTGTGGAAAACGTGGCCTCCTCAGGCCGGAGTCCCCTGGGCCCTCCTTAGCCAGGATCAATGTAGAGGGAATGCCAAATAGTCAACCGCCTTTAGGTGGGTTTTTAGGTTTCAGGGGAAATAATGAAATTTTGCATTCGAATCTGAACATGAGTGTGTCAGCCTGTGAGTGGTTGGGTGAAGAAATGGCCCTATTTCTCCTATTAGCTTGTCCTACCACCCCGGGGAGAGCCTGACCCAGTGAGGTGGCCGCAAGATCCTAAGAGCCTTGCTCCACCGAGGTCCAGACCGCGGAGAACCGAGACCCAGGCACCACGTGACTTGGTTGTCAAGATCCTGACATTTCAGTGTGGTGGCAATGCACCGAGCGTGCCTGGGTGAGAGGAACATGTGGACATGGATTGTCAGATATGACTATGTGCATGGTGTTATTGCTTGTGATGGTGAAAACTTGGAGCAACCTAAATGCCTATCAACAGGAAATCAAACAGGGAATAAGTAAAGTGTGCTGTATTTATAGGATGGAATTGTATACAGCAGTTAAAATAAATAAAAGTGATCTAGTTGAACTGGCCTGGGATAAGGCTCAAAAAATAAAATAAAATGAGCAATTTGCAGAATGAAACTGCAGTATGAAACCATTTATGTAAGAAAAGAATGAGGGCGAGAGAGAGAGAAAGAATAAAAGAAAAACAAGAGAAACCCTCATGAAGCAATACTGTTTTCTGTGCTGTACTATAGGCTATATATAAAAGGACTGCAAGCCTAAATCCCCAAACCCCAGACTATCCAAGGGGAGGGTTCAGAGGGATAGAAATTGGAGAATGTGGTCAAAAGGCATTTTTGAGTAAATGTCCTAATATTTCAGAAGAGAGTGAATTCAGTTATTTCTTATGTAATTAAAAATTCATTACAAAATAGGGGAAAATGAGGTGTTAGTGGTTTACAAACTTTGTCCATCCAGATTGAGCAGATGTGGAGCTTTGCCGTTGACTTATTTGTGAGTAATTAGTGGTTTCAGTTTTTTTTTCTTTTCTTTTGCTGAGATGTAGCAAATTGATATAATTAAAAGGGTGAGACAAGGTATATGTGAGTGTGTGTGTTCATAAATCAACAGGTGACTGTGTTAAGTAACCCTCAGGAGAGTCCTTTTCCAAGTAGTTAGTCTGTCATACGTGGCCTTGCTGAGCTGCAGGGTCATCATCCTGTCAGGCCAAACACGGGGCTGCAGCATTTATTGCTCTAATTGTGCTGTTTAGAAACGTGTGGGGCACAAGGGCTGGGGAGCCCTGATCTGTTTCTTGGAGTCCTGCCATCTCCCTTTGTACCTTCCACTTGGAAAATCTCGCAGGTAGATATCAATTAGCCATGCAAACACCATGTTGGAAATTCACTTTATTTGGGGACTTGTGGGGAGCCTCAGGTAAGTGAATAATTTAGCTAAGTATTCTGCAAACCCATAGGTAGTGATTACTATAGACAGAGATTTTGAAATATGGATGAAGCTTGTGTGTGTGTGTGTGTGTGTGTGTAGAATTAATAATATAAAATTTTAAAATTATTTTAAAAACATTCTTTTATTGAAGGAGAACATTTAAACTTAGAAAATAAATTATAAACTTATTAGGAAATAGCTTGCTTATGTTGTAGAATCAGTGTGAATAATACTAGTTGTTTTCAAAAATAATCTTTTCCCTAACTGTAATAGTTATATTCTCATTGTAGAAAACTCAGTAGTTAAAGAAAAGTATAAACAACACAATTAAAAGCAAGCAAAAATGAAGCAGTAGCTAACTCCTGCTGGTTGAATTATGGATGTTTTCTTTTAGACTTTTCTATTATTAACATAACAAAATCTCCATCCTACTGGCGATATTACTTTGTAGTCTGTTTTTATCATACTGTTAATATCTGAGAGGCCACCAATCCAGAAGTTTTCCTGTACCCCGTTCTAGTCAGTTTCCTACCCACCCCAGGCATGGGTGGCCACTGGTCTGATTTTTATCACTATCGTGTTGCCTTTTTCAGAATGTGATATGAATGGCATCATACAGTATGTAGCCCTTTGTGACAAGCTTCTTTCATTTATCATAATGCTTTTGAGAGTCTTCTATGTTGTTTCAAATATCAGAAGTTCTTTTATTGCTGAATATTGTATGGGCATATTACAATTTGTTTATCATTTGCGGGGATTTGCTGAACATTTAGATCTAGTCTGTGGGTCAAAGTCTGTCACCTGTTTTGGAATACTCTTGGACATTATTTCTTCAAATAATGCTCTGCCCCATCTCAGCCTGTCCTCTCCTTCTGGGACTTAAGTTGCAGCTGTGCTAGGGAGCATTTGGTTGGGTTCCCTATATCTCTTATGTTCTATTTTGTTCTTTTCATTTTTTTCTCTTGGTGCATCAGTTGGATCTTTTCTGTAGACTTCAACTACACTGTGTTTTTTCTTTCAGATCCTTGAATATTTCTGATGCTATTGCTATGAGGCTGGTGCAAATAGAATCTGAAACTTTACTTCCATCCCTTTTTTTGCCTGGTTCTTAGTCATCATCTAGATTTTGCTCCCCAAGGAATGCCTTCTCTGACCTCCAAGATGAAGCCAGATGACAGCCCCTCAAAGTACTAAGCCTCTTTCCTCTTGAACACTAACCAAAGTTGCAGAATTTGTCTGCCTTCCTCTCTAGACCATAAGTTTTACAGGGCAGATATTGGTCTACTTTTTGATTATTGTTGTTTCCCCATCTGTAGCCTGGTTCCTGAAACATAGTAAGATCCTAATATTTTTGAAATGTTCCCCCTTCAGGTAGTTGGGGGTCGGCCTCCTGAGATTCTTTAGGTAAACTCATCATGGCTCTGGGTATCTCATCTATGCCTTTGCACCAAGCATCCCATGCTTGATGATGGTCTTTACAGAAATGTCTACTGCGTATGGCCTCAGTTGACTTCAGAGATGGAAGATCAAACCACTGCAAGAAGGGCATGATCAGAGACATTTCTGCCATAGCATGGTTAGAAAACCATGCTGAAAACAGAACACAGACTTGATCATAACTGTAGTGGACAACCCTCAGACTCATGGGGAACTGTTGGTTCTTTTGGCTGAATTCTTGGTTATAAACTTCTAATTTTGCGGTTGACCTAGAAATTCTCATTTCTGGGAAATGACTGAGCCAATTCTCTATTCTCCTAGTTTGCAAAGGAGCTTCTGTTGTTTCCAACTAACATTAACTTGCCATACTGGCTTACTTTCACTCTTATTCTCTAGGGAAAGAAGGTTCTTTTCTCCTTTCCTTTCCTTTCCTTTCCTTTCCTGTCCTGTCCTTTCTTTCCCCTTCCCTTCCCTTTCCTTCCTTCCTTCTCTTTTCCTTTTCCTTTCCCCTTTCTTTCTATATGTTCTTCCCTGAGGAAGACAACAATTTGTAACTTCCTTTCCCTGAGGAAGACAAAAATATATAACTCCATACAGTATAATTAGAATTTCAACCAAAGGAGCCTCATTAATGCACTTCAGAGGACATACATTTTGCACTGGGCAAGTAGATGAGTTCAATGTCCTATATAATATATCACAATGCACAGGACATTTTTCTGGAACATATGTATATAGAAACCTATGAATCTGTAGATAATAGCAGTAGCAAGAAGATCTAAATGAGAATATAGGTACTATCTCATTTAATCCTCATATGTATCAGAACATAAGGCATTGTTACTAATTTATAGAGACGTGAATTTAAGTACAAGGACTGTAAGTTGCAGGGGTCAACTAATGGTGAAACTGGGAAAGATGCTCAGTGCAGAACCCCTGCATAAGACTAAAATGAGAGGAAAAACATGAAGGCTACAGATAGTGCTTCTTTAATTTATGTTCACTCTTGTTTTTAGGGAAATTGTACTTTCAGCAAATTTAACTAGCTAATGCATAGTTCTGATCAAATTTTCAACCTCCACTACCTGAAACCTTCCAGTAGCTCTTTATTGTCTAACCAAAGCCAAGCAAGTTTGCATGTCATGAGTTTTCCCAGAAACTTCTCATCATTTTCTACATGCCCTGGCACATCGAGAATTTCAAAAGGGGTTAGTTTATCAAACGTATTTTCCTACAGAGTGTCTTTTATCCTGGAGCATCTTTCAGTTTCCCAGTGATCTTGGGAAGTGCAACATAGAAAATAAAATTTAAGTATCTAAGTCTTGTTCTCTGTTTCTTAGTTTATACCTTTCTGGCCATCTCAAAGTTTTGCAAGGGCCAGATAGGGAATGTAAATGAAAGAAGCCAGGAGAAATGAAATGATGGGTGATAATTACCTTCCATAGTAAGAGGAGGAGGGTGGCCTACTAGAAAGTATTATGCTTGTTAAAAGGAGAGAACCGCTGAATGTCATGTGAAATACAGCCTCAGAATTGCCAGGCAGTTTGATACCTTAAGTGAATTTGGAAACTTGAATTTTGATCTATACTATCATTACTTTTAAAGGATGGCAACTAGTTCAGATTTAAAACTCTCTGTGGGTGAACACTGTGTGAGCCAAGCATGACCCGTCTACAAGCTGAATTTGGCTTAAAGACAGCCAGTTTGTGACTTTTCTACATGATGGTATCTCGGCTACCTTTTCCTGCTTTATCTCTAAAATGACACAAAATTGTTGAATATAAACTTCTTATTTTAGGGAGGAGTATACCAATTTTTTCTATTCATTTTTCAGGGTAAATGTCTGTCACACACCCAC